CCCACCCTAAAATTCCCCTGAGACTGCTTGCCAGTCCTGGGAGCTTTTGATTACTTGGGTTTTCTTTCTTTTTGGAAGAAAGTTTCCAGGCCTCACTTCTCACACATACCTGATTTTGTAAACAGTGGTTCCTTTAGCAGTAATACCACAGTGGCCTACAGCTCTCCAGTCAACTTGTGTTCTAGCTGGCTTTCTGAAGGAGATCATCTTTACCCCAGAATATTATGTGGAATAGTTAAAAGTAGAATTATTAGGCCATTGTTTAGAATTCAGAATTCTGGGTGGGTTCCTGGCACTCAGGGGGCACTGGGGTCTGTTGTTTTTCAGTCTTTGTCTCCTGCTGGACCCCTCTTAGTGTTGGAGCTGCCCCTCTGCGCTCCCTAGTCTCACTGGTGTCTTTTTCCTCTTCTGGGTCTCTCTGTCTCATTTCTTGCTGATCCCTCTTATCTCTCCAATTCTTTTTCTTTCCCCTTCTGCCTTCTTTTCTCCCCATTCTTGAAGTTCTCTCTCTGCCCATTTCACCTGCCTTATTAGTTCATTTCCCAGCCTTCCTCATAAGAGGCACTTCCTGGTCTGTTTCCAGTGTCATCACTTCTCCAGTTGCATGTTATTATTTTTCTTTTTCTCTTTCATCCTCCTTTATGGATGCTTGTAGCCGTTTCGTGGGTATATTTTAAAAATCACATCTTACAAAAGAAAATGAGGACCACTGGATCCTGTTTTCTTCCAGTTCAGTAACTGGGAACACTTGTGGTTTCTTTGGTCAGGTGGTGAGTCCTGGATCAAGAAGGAAGAGCCAGCTGTAAAGCAGGAAGCCTCTGAAGAAGCAGAGGTGCACAGAATGCCAGTAGGAGGACTTCTCAGAAACGTTGCTCAGCACTTTGATTTTAAAAGCAAGGCAACATGGCAGACTTTCAGTCTGAATCCGAATCTGATACTTCGAGGTGGAATGAAGTTCTATGAATGTAAAGAATGCGGAAAAATCTTCAGATATAACTCAAAGCTTATTCGGCATCAGATGAGTCATACTGGAGAAAAGCCCTTCAAATGTAAGGAATGCGGCAAAGCTTTCAAGTCCAGCTATGACTGTATTGTCCATGAGAAGAATCACATTGGAGAAGGGCCTTATGAGTGTAAGGAGTGCGGCAAAGGTTTGAGTTCCAACACGGCCTTGACTCAGCATCAAAGGATCCACACTGGAGAGAAACCCTATGAGTGTAAGGAGTGTGGAAAGGCTTTCCGTAGGAGTGCAGCATATCTTCAGCATCAGAGACTACACACTGGAGAGAAACTCTATAAATGTAAGGAATGTTGGAAAGCTTTTGGTTGTAGGTCACTTTTTATTGTCCATCAGAGAATTCATACGGGGGAGAAACCCTACCAATGTAAGGAGTGTGGCAAGGCCTTCACTCAGAAGATAGCCTCCATTCAGCACCAACGAGTTCACACTGGAGAGAAGCCTTATGAATGTAAGGTGTGTGGGAAGGCCTTCAAATGGTATGGCAGTTTTGTTCAGCATCAGAAGTTGCACCCTGTGGAGAAGAAGCCTGTCAAGGTTCTTGGGCCATCCCTGATGACTCCCCAGTGCCCCTCTTCAGCCTTATCTCCAGTTCCTCTCCAGAGTCCATGCTCTGCTCCAGCTGTGGCTGTGCCTTCACTGACCTTTCCACATGCTGTGCTCATTCCTACCTCTGGGCCTTTGTTCATGCTGCTGCCCACATCTGGAATACCTTCTTCACCTGTCCAAATAGTACGAGTCTTCCAGGGTCTTACTCCCACTGTGAAGCCTTCCCCAATTTTTCTGACTCCTTCTTCTCACCCCTCATGATCTTTATCTGCCACTCCTATGGCTCTGAGGCCCAGCAAATCTCCAAGCTAATTTGAGTTTCATTTGTGTTTTTTTCTTACCTTACATGTATTACAACTGTTTCAGGATAAACCCCGTTGTAATCTATATATATTTGAAGACTGTGTTTATATAACTCATTCTCTTTTTCTCTGGGTAGAAAATGGAAATACTTGACCTTTGCATTGGTCCCTTTCAGGCTTGAACAGCAATGGCTGTGTCTGCATTGTGAACGTGCTGGTGTTAGAAGTCCTGGTAGGACACTCTGGTGTGTTAGAGTTTGGGAGAGAGGACTTCCCTGGATTAAGCCATTGTGATTAGCAGGAAGCAGCCTGGGAGAAACAGAGGAGGCATGCAAGACCTGTGGGAGTAGAGAATTGGAATAAGTGTCCAACAATGAACTTTAGAAATTAATGCAGATTATTTAGTGGGCTAAGGTGGTGTATTAATGCCATTGAAGTTGCATTGCCCTTGGCAATGGATCGTTGAGGATCTCATATGTCTATGCAAAAGATCATGTGAAATAACCACTAAAAAATAGTATGTATGCAGTGATAGCAATTATTTACACGATTGATAGCAATCATGTCTTTAAAAAGGAACTTTCTTTTTCTTTAGTTTTGCTCTTGATATCTAGATGTTTCTTTTTAACTTTGGTTTCCTAAGTAAATATACACCAAGGCCTTCATCTCTGTCACATCTGTTGTGTAAAGTTTTCATTGTGGGTGTTCTGGTTTTCTGTTTGCAAGCACTGACTTCTACATTTTATTTTCTCCAGATAGCATGAGTTGTATATAAAGCCAACTTGGGGGAAATCTGAATAAGCCTCCAAAATTGTTTTTTAGGAGTAGAGGGGGCTGTGTAATGGGTCAGTGGCTAAGTTTATGAAGTGGAATTTTGGGTTGTTCTTGCTTTTGACCTTGAGGATCTGTGACAACTATGCAAAATAATGCATGAATTAATTCCTGGAAAAAGAACTCAAGTTATGCATTATTAGTGTTAATGTAAAGTAAAGCCTTAAACACCGATGGAAGGGGCCATACATTATTTTAAGTTGTTTTTGCTATCTAGATGTTTCTCCATAGAAATTAACAGAAAACCTTTAAATAGGTTGTTCTTTAAACTTTACCATGTGTCTGAATAATCTGATGTGCTCAATAACTTGGTGTAAAAAGAGTAATTTTCTGGCCTAACTCCCAGAAATTCTGATTTTGGATATCTGTGGTGATGCCCAGACCTTTAATGTGGACCATACTTTGAGAGAGATGCTTTAAACAGAAAATGCATTTGGCCTGTTTGGAGGCATACATTGATAAAGGGTTTGAGTGAGACTGCCTTATTTCACAGTGGATCTTTAGGAGAGAGACCTCCAAGAGTAATTTGGGTGGTGTCACTTTAGAAGAAGAGAGAAAAGTAAGTGAAATATGGCCTGTAGGGAAAGAAAGAAAAGGGCAAAGAGATCTGATGTGGCCTATGAAGAATTCCTGAGGTCTGCACTCGTAGGAGGTTTGTGGGGGTTGACATTGGCTACCTTTTGCTATTTATTTGCTTGTTGGCTGAAGTAATGAAATTTTTTTTCTTATTATAAAGTTAATACACTTCAAAGTAGCTCTTGGGTTAAAGAGAGCACAAAATGGATGCTACAGATGATTTAGAACCGAACAACAGTAAGAACAGGACATAGCAGGGTCTATGGGATGTGGCAAAAGGTGGTACTCAGAGCAATATTTACAGTCTTGGATGCATTAGGAAACAAGTTTGAAGGCTTGCAATTCAGAAAGCTGGGGGTGGTGTTTGGTGGTGGAAAACAAACAAAATTAACCAAAGACAAAACAAGCAAACAGACCAAAAAACCCTCAAATGAAGTTAGCAGAAATAAGATATTCAACAGAGTTTTTGGTAAAGATGGTGTTTGAACGTGTTATCATTCATGCCCTCCTGTAACCCCGCTAAAATAGTAAAAGAGATTAAAAATTAAAAGGCATAAACTCACAAGGACAATAAGATGATGATAACATTTTGGAAGCTTGAAAGCAGGTGAAAGAGTTGTAACTTTTAGCAGACCTGAGAAGGGTGAATCCTAAGCCAAACTGGGGGAAGCTGAGCAGCCGTCCTGTATGGCAGAATTCCCAAAAGGGCTTAGTGAAACCAGGTATCAGGGATGCTGGTGGGACTAAGAACAGGAGAATTGGCTAAAAGTGTTTAAGAAGCACTTAGATTCTCAGGTCACCCTTCTAACCCCCTATGCTCTGGTGCAGCAAAGCAGGAATTTTGGAGGTCAGGGTACCACCCTGAACATGAGATCTTTCACCCTTTAGCCTTCTACCCCTACTTCTATCCAGAACGCTGCCAGTAAGACTTGTGTACCTTCTAGGCCAGAAATCAGAAGAACTTGCTTTGGGAACTCTGGTGAAGTCAAGAGAAAAGACCAATGATACTGGCATCTCAGATTCCTGAATGAAATGGCTCCACGGAGAACTTCCAACTATGTATGTAGACCTCCTAGCCAGCTTTTTACTGCTTCGTTCTTACACATAAACTGATAGCCAAGAATATGAAAATGGCTGAAGCAAGGGAACAGGAAGGCCCAGGTGAAGCAGACTACGCAGGGAGAAGAAAACTTATCCTAAGGTTAGGGAAGATGTTTGCATCCCTGAAACAATAGGTTGCTATAAAAAAGGAAAATTCAGAGAACAAAAAATAACTGTGGAAAACTAAAAGTTGGTATCTGAAATGAGACAATCAATGTAAGCATTGGAAAATAAAGTCAAGGGAATCACCCCGAAAGTATAACAAAAAGAGGTCAAAGTAGCAAAAAAAGGTGACCTAACAGTTAAATAGGCATTTTGAGAGAGAAGAATGAAGTTGGAGAGAAAGAAATCGTAAATAATTCAGGGAGATTTCCCAGAGTTGAAGCCTGGGGCTCCAAGCCTTCATCAGAGGTGTTGAGGTGTTGAGGGAGCCGCAAGCACTCCCCGGCCTCAGGCCTCCCTGCCTCTGCTGGTGGGAATGAAGAGAGGGACTCCAGACCCATACCTCTTCTACGGTCCTCCAATCTCAGCCTTCCTACCATTAGCAGTCTGGAGACTATCAGAACTTTCTCAGCGTGCACTTTGTTTATTTCAGTCCCCACAAGGAGCCCTGAACTCCCAGGATAATCCCCAGCTCCTGCAAGTTTAATCCTTTATGTCTGTACATTTCACTTTCTGTCTCTCCAGCTCCTGATAACTTCATTCTGCCCGCTGAAGCTAACAATCCATTGGTAGCAAAGTTCCCCATGTGCCGAACATCTTTGAACCTTACCTCCTCCTTCTAATCAAAACCTGCCTGTCCTCTGACGATACTGCTTCCCCAGCACCCTCTGAAAAGGTGGTTATTTTTCTTCTGCATTCCTAACATCAGATATCCTGGATCCTCTTTGTTTCTCTTTGCCAGTTCCAGATCGTTCTTCACCCCTCCTCTTTACTGAAAACCTCCACCTCTGAATCACATGTCATCAGGCAGTGCTGCTGGGCCTCTGGGTCACACTCCCTCATTCCTTGAAGATTTTAGCTTCTGCCCTACTGTCACTCTCTTCAACATTATTCTTGTCTTAATTCTTGGTGATTTCAGTAGATGATCCTTCCAATACCTCACCCTATCATTTCCTTTCTTATCCTTTGTGTTACCTCAACCACCCCTTTGATGACATCCTAGACCTTGTATCCCCTCTGTAATCTCAGCACTTTAAATATCTTGCTCTATTACCTATATTTCCAATTTATTCCCTTTAGAATCCTCATGCTAACAATCCTTCAACTTCCATTGTTCCTCCTTTTTCACTGCCCTTCACTTCCCTGTCCTCCACCTCGGTTATGCCTGTCCTTTCTTTTTCACTCAAATCTGCAGTCAATTATTATAACAATTCCTTTATAATCGCCCTTAACTCCCTTCTCCTTCTCTCGCTTTGTCACACTCACACGGCAAAAGCCTACCTCTGAGTAAATACAATTCTTTGCCTTCTGTGTGCCTGCACCTGTGCTACAAAAGTCATCAGGAAAAAACACACTGCCATGCTGAATCGACTGACTTTCAATTCATGACCAGTGACTTCAGGTAGGCTCTTAATGCTTCCTGACAGTCGTACTACAATTCTGGGGTCCACTTCACTCTCCTACTTTCCTAGACCACTACTCTTTACCTTCTTAAAACTCTTCTTGAGCCTCTGACACCCCCTCCTCAGTCTTCTTGCTCAGCTGATGATTGTTTCTGCCCCCTGCTGGCAGAACAGCAAGCTCCAGAGAGCGACTGTGCCCTCAGCCCAGGTGCCAGAATGAGAAGACACAGGGAGCTGTGTTGGGCCCAGAATTGCTGTGGGCACCTGTCTTGCCCATCTGCTTTTCAGCTTGCAATATCGGATCTTCCATCACCATATTCTCAATCACTTCCACTAAGACAGTTCCACCTTTTTAAGATTCTATCACATTCAGTAACACACTTCTGCTTCCTAATTCTGTGTCAGCCAGTGTTTAGTTGCAGACGACAGAACTCACTTTAACTAGTTTAAGCAGAAAGGCATTTGCTACATACTATTAGCTTATAAAACTTCCACAAGGGAACCAAGTCGGGATGCCACAGGCAGAAGCCAAGAAAAATGACCAATGACATTACCAAATCATTCCAGTGGAAACCCAGCAGCTGCTGGTGCCTGCTGATGGACTGCCACTCCCATTGAAGAGAGGCACTGGACCACTGGGAGGTTTGCTATGTATTGTGGAGAAAAAGCAAATATCCCCACAACCATTTTGGTAGGAGACTGTAGGGTCTCATGATCTTTACTTCCATCTTCTGCAGGGGTATACCTGCTCAGTGGAAGTAGGTTATGTGTGTACATCTAAGTAACAAGGGCTTTTGGGAAATCTTTTTTGGATTCGACCTGGGAAAGTAAGATTTATAATGTGGAGAAGTCCTAAAATGGGGAAAGGATTTTCAAAATATTTTGGGCAGCTATAAAGTATCAGTTATCCATTGCAGGCATGAAAGATGGCCTAAATGACAGAAGGATACACTA